GTTCTACTAAGTCGCCCTGGCAACAAGACCAAGTTGCGACAACGAGGTCAACCCACTTCTATAAATGGAAAGAAGACTGTGACCATACCAGAAGCCACACCATCTTGGTCTTCATATCTTCAATTAAACTAATTATTTCTTGTTGCTGACTTGCTTGTATATCCTTTTGTTATGTACAAAATCTCGTGTACAGTAGTCCCTTGCCTCAGTAAGGTTGGCAAGCTAAGCAATTGAGCATTTGGAAGAATAATAAACGGTCAGATTCGTCAAACATATGCTCCAAAGATGAATAGGGAAGGAGTACTACACTTGAATGTAGAGTCAGCACTGACTGAAAATCATGAATAAGGCCGATCAAGGCCAGTTTCGCCATTGCTAGGCGATAGCGACTTGTCGGATAGATAGAGGCCCTGATTACATGCATTGACTTTCGAAGAGCCACTTGTTTTCCTCCTTCCAGCTGATGGACTACATGGAACGAAATCATCTCACGCCAAGCAAACCAGTCCCGGGTCAGCTGATCCGACTGAGAGAGTTGGCCGATCCCACCTGGTGGCGCAGCCTAACTCTGCCTCGCAACTCGGATGCCCGACTCCTCAGCAGACAGGACGGCTTCCGAGTTGACGAGCTGCAAAGAACCAGCGGTTCCGACAGTCTGGGACAATCTGGAGAGCCGATGCGGATCGGCTCGATGCCCAGCGACGGAGGACATGTGATACAGATGGCTCCGAGTGCAATGAGTCAGTCCATCTCGTCCATCTCGGCACAACCGGCTCAGTCGCCAGTCTACCATCACCCATTGACGGCAAATCCCTCTCTTCCCGCGCCACACGCCTACTCCAGCCACCCACAATTGAAGACGACTCCCAGTCTCGGAGGCGCCCACTCTCAGACGACCGCATACTCGGTCGCAGCTGGCTGCAGTCCGAATCACACAAACGGAGCCGGACAAACCAGGCAGCCCAGTTGCTCAGGTGAGCAATCCTCCGTCGAGGTGACCCCCGCGTACATGACCTCCGTAAACCGATTGTCCCGGCAACTGATGAACACCAACATGACGCCACCGGATGCTGCGCTAGTCGTAGCAACCGCGTCAACTGGTGCATCTGCATCTTCCACCAGTCGACCGGACGTGTGGAGTCGACAAGCCGAGTCTTGGCAGACTGGACATGCCGTCCGGTCGACGAGCAAACGGACGGCCAGTTCCACGACGCAAGGACGATCAAGACGGTTCCATTTGAGAGGAACCGGTCGCTGTGGCGACGGAGGCGTCGACGAGATCACGACACCCGGTCACGTGAGACGTCAAATGTCGTTGGATCATTCGGCCTTCTCCAGCGAGATCAGTTCCGAGATGCGACAATCGCCTTCACTTGCCTACGAGGTGCCACATTCGGGCCCGCACAGCTCCGAGATCGGCGCATCTGTCGACTGCAACAGCCCCATCGGAATCGGACCAAATCGAGTCTGCTCAAAGTCTGTATCAAGAGGTTCACCGGGCTCCGACGAACGTCTCGACATTCACCGGTTGCTCCTGCCCGAGGCGCCTGGTGCCGAGGATCGACAACGGTCGGAATACAGTCCACCACAGACGGGAGCACGAGGTTCGGCAACCTCGAGTCCCAGGCACAGACGACTTGTTCGTCTGCACTCAGGCCAACAACAGGCTACCATGACAACTAGCCACGGCGGAGAAGAGAGGATTCGACAGTACTACTCAGGCAAACCCCTTGAAAGCACGGATCGCACCGTTTTTGGTGACTTCACTTCTAGCCGTCCGTAATGCGATCATCTCGCAGACAACTGCCAATTGTAAAGAGTTAAGCATAAAGCTCCCCTCAACAACCTTCCTGAAGCCAAATATATACAATTTATTCACCATTCAGACGTTTAGTTCGAGACGGAATGTCCTTCTGCCTTTTGCGTTGCTTTTTCCTGGTCTTGGTGATCGAAAAGTTTGGGTTACTTCCAATGAAAAGTGTCCCTTTACTGCAACCGATCGAGGAATGGCATCGTGAAGTAAAGCATCTATCAAGCTTTATTTCTATAACGGACCCAATTTCACTCTATTGTAGGCATCACGCATGAATTTTCTGCCAAAAACACTGAATTTACTTGACATCTTTGTAAATTTCGTGGAAAATAATGAGAAGGGAATGAAAGTTTGCGCATCAATTTGTAATTAACAAAGAAAATATATATGTATTTACAATAAAGACACCAGATACGAAATTTTTCATTTTAAATTAAAGAAACACTTTTGCGAAGCTTGTAACTAAGTAAAAATAATTTTCATTTGAGGAAAAATTGAGGAACAATAATCTGAACAATTAGGATAGAAATAAAGAAATTATGAATTTTTTTCAGATATAATAAAAGAAGATAATTGTTCAAGTTTGATTTTTCTCGGAATACAAAAAAAATCTCTAAAGCAGCTCATATTTGGCGTTTAACTACCTTCCTCAGCAATTGGTTGGATTAATCAGCGGCTTGAAGCTTTCAGGTATTAAAGTATTTAGGCTTAAGAGAAAACTTGATAACATTCAGAAGCAGACACTTTAATCTATGAATCAGGTGACTCCAGCAACATTAAGAAAAGTGGCATCTTCTTCTATCAAAATATTTTAAGATCTCTAAAACTACTTACAATTTATATAAGTAGTTTAGTCGATTGTAATGACAAAATACTTGTTTGCCTTGAATTTTAGGTTGGTTAAGCCAGGCTTTTTTCGTTATTGAGTAGGTTTTCGAGACTTCCAGTAAATTATATATATATATATATATATGAGTTGTGTTCACCCTATTTCGGTTAAGGTGATGAATACTGGTAGTTGAATTTTCCCACAAGAACATGATTAGAGCCGACGCTTCTACTGAATTTCGCATAGCCTTACTTTCCCAAAAAGTGTTCTCATCCAGGGTAGAAAGCAATTTTGAACTGACTTACGTCTTATAAACAATGGAAACGTCAGCTCAACTCATATTCTTGTGTAAAAATGCAACTATCAGTGCCTTAACATCCTAAATGAAATAGAGTAAACGCAACTCATTTATTTGGTTAACCAATAGTATAGATAACCTACTCAGTAACGAAATAAGTAATCTCGTCGATTGATATGGCAAATATAACTTTGCTTCATCAACAATCTCAACAAAGAATGTTACTTGGGAAAACGTCTCGCTTTTCTTGAAATTCGCATCTGCCCTGTGATCCAAGGGCACTTGTAGCAGTATGGCGTAGTGTCGAGATTACATACTGAACTTTCATGGTTTGATTCCCACCGAGGGCGTTGATAAGGCCTATATGAGGTCAGAACTGCAGTCCACTCTAAATAAGAACGCCGTTTTGCAAAGCAAGGCTATGTGAAATTAAATGATAACGCCAGCTCTACTTACATCATTTTGGGAAGAATCAACTACCAGTCCTTCACACCTTAAATGAAATAGGGTGAGCACAACTCATATAAGCCTTGGAATTCAAGTATGCAATTTTATCAAATAATGTCCGTGGGAGTATGTTAGAATGTCCAAATGCCGTAATCATAAGTTGCATCATCCGAGTTTCATTCTCGTTGGGGGTGTTGACAAGCTCCAGGCAAGGTCAAAATTGCAGTCAACTTGGATATGAATACCTTATGGAGATTACGGCTAAGTGAACTTAGATGGTACAATGAAGCCCATTCCATATTATTGTTAAAGAATGCAATTATCAGTCCTTCGTCATCTAATATGACCTGGGGGTTAGAAACGCATAAATGAAGAAAAACTTGTTTTCTAACTATCACTACATAATTTAATGTTACTCAAATTTTAATTTCGATAAAATAATCATGTGGTTTTTATTAAATTAAATAAATACTTGTGCTCTATGCGAGTTAGAGATCGCCGTCCATCAGGAATTTTAAACATGTTTTGTGAGGCAAGACTAAATAAAATGTTGTGCATTATAGAACTTCCTCATTTCGTTCACAAGTTGTTCTTGAATCATCATAAATGTTCTAGCTTGACTAATTTTTTTAAAGATTTCCTGAATCTAAAAGATAGAAAACTGAGCTAATCTTTTATTCATTTTTAGGCAGGTTTTCGAGACTTAGAGTAATTCATATGTATGAGATACACTCACATTTTCTTTGTTTAGTTCTTTTTGGTGATTGTTTGTGAATAATGGTTTCTGGCACTGACGATGTCCGTCCCATGACGGACTTAAGCTAAGCACGTAGTCATCGGGGTCGTAGGACGGTAAGCCAAGGTCTTCTTCGCATAATCCAACAGTCATAAGTCCAAGACAACTCTCTTTCGTTGTCCGGAGAGGCCAATTTACGAATAACTTCCACCCTCCATCTCATACAAAATTAAAGCCATGTCAGCATCAAGTTCTTAATCGATTCTTAGAAACGCATCCTCTCTTAATATTTTATGCAAGCACGCTACACCGCTGAGTTCACATATGTGCACACACAAAAGTGTATATGAAATCCGTTGAGAGCAGAGTTGACCTGAGATAATTATTAAAGTGAGGAGGCAGCAATTGTTAACATGATACAATGAACATGTACCGGGACCAAATAAATGAGGGTCGACTTGTGTCTTAGCCAATACATCTCCTCCCCTTCATCTATGATATGTATTCTATGATTAAAGAGGCTGGCTGCAACACTGGTGATCATTTTGTGCCTTTCAATGATTAGACACCTTAAAAACTCTTGGCAATAATGACGCTGGATGAAGCAAGTTGTCTGTTCTTTGAGGTCGCCTACTATCAACGTCATAGTTACGAAAACCAATTCAAAACTAGTTTATGCAATATATTCTCTCTCATTATATTTATTTATTTATTTATTTATTTATTTATTTATTTATTTATTTATTTATTTATTTATTTATTTAT